AACATCGAACTCTGACCGGCGGCGTTGGGCTCATAATAAAAAGGGATGGACGCATCATTTGTATTCAGCTGTAAGATTATATCGCTTCGCATAATAATTCTGTTCTAGAGAATAATAGAAGTGAACAAATGGACAGAAGAGGAAAAATAAAAATAGTCCGAATTTACAGCCCAACCTGGCAATATTAAGAAATCGAGCAATTTTGAGGAATTGGATGAGACAGTAGGGAAGAAAATTAAATACACAGTTTGCCAGGGAGATTTCAGCACTGTGGTCAAGAGAATGCTCAACGACATAGGCGTGAATCAGAAGTTGCCAATTTTACCCCGGAAACAGTTCACAAAGTCATCTGAGATGTAGTTCACTAATAAATCTGAAATACTGAAAATAGCAATCATGGAGTATATGATTCCGGTCATAGATGACAGAAACAGAGCATTTCGAAACCAAGGAAAAATCCGGTTATAGCTCTTACTAAACATTTTATGGAATATATATAGAGGAAAACAAGACTTTTAAGGCACGGAGGATATTCAAAGCAATTCTTCTAATGAAAACATGCAGCTGCGAAGACCTAAGGACCTGTCGACCAATTACATAATCGCAAATGTACAAAGTCTTCATTCGGATCATAGTCAGCAGTGTGTGGAAGGACCTGGCACTAACCATAGTTAGAAACAAGCTGGTTTTCATACAAGGTACGTTCTTTAACCAGAGGCATGTGTTCCAGCAGACCACGGAGAAGGGCAACGAATACCATGTTTTGCAACTCCATCGTAGCTGGTCCCAAGTCCCGATGAGAGGGTTTGTGACCGAGCAACAGTTCTTAAAACTAGTCACCTTTTTTCGTTGCATTGCCACTGTCGGACATCACACCGACTTGGTAATCGACCGGGTTAAACAAGGACCGCGCAGTCTGTTGGGAACTCAAGCAGGCTGCGAAAAGTTGGCTAGGGGAACCTGCTCCCCCCTTCCGCCAGCTGAAAATATGGCCCACCACGATAGTGGAGGTCAAAAATCGACAAAAGGACTAGAAATAACAGTGAGCGGCGGAGCGCTGCCCGTTCCGAACGAAGAAAGGGGACAAAGCAATGCCATTATAGCACATCAGG